ATGGAAATAAAGTCTTTGTAAATAGGGAAGGGTGGAGGGGATGAAGTTAGGGCTAGGAATGGGGAAAAAATAAGAACAAAGATGCATCATGTAAAGGTACAAGTTCCCAATGAGAAATGTAAATGTGTTGTGTACCTAAAATGTACCAATAAAAGAATTTAACAAAAAAAAAAAGAAAAGTAAGCCACCAATTTCAGCAGAGCGTATTCTAACTTATCAAAATTAGTTTATATTTACTTATACAATAACTATTTGTCCTTTACAGCTTTATGAGACAAAGTATGCCATGGAATAGAAGTAAAATAATCCTATGAGCCATCAGTAATGTAGCGTGTACATTGTGGCAGGAATCATTGAAAATATTATCCTTATATGTACTAATTTAATCCTCATACCAAAGATATGAATTATCTACCTAAAGTATGAATTCGATACTACAAACAAGACAAATTACAATAAGCATATTTTACTTATCCTCATATGTAATTTTTGAATAACAATAGTATGACATATAACATTTTATAAATTTTCATTTTTACCTAACAATATATCATACAAATGTAGCTTATGTTTAATAAAGTGCTTTTACACATTATGCAAAACTTGGCCAGGGATTTAGCTCAGTGGTTCTGTTGCCTGCCTCGCAAGCACAAGATCCTGAGTTTGATCCCTGGTACCAAAAAAAAAAAAAAATGGGGTGGAAAAACTTAATTATTAGCTTGTCTTCTATTGATAGGCATTTAAATTATTTTCAATTTTCTTCTATACTAACAATATTCCCAGAAGCATTGCCCAAGTTACCTATATTTTTCCTCAGATTAAAATTCCACAACTTGGGATTCTTAGATAAATTAAAATCTTAATCATTACTTTTTCATCAAGTACCTTATCTCATCTTGTCTTCATAAGAGTTGTTAATTTCATTCCCATCTGAAAAAGAATAATGTTGTTATTCCATCATTAACAAACAGAATTACTGATCATGAACAAGTGGCTCATTTATCCTCCCCTGCTCTAACAGTAATATAACTTTACTCAAGCAACTGATATCCAGATTAAATACTGCACCATTCAGCCCACGGCGGATCTAGGATGCCTGGGATTAGATGCCAGCAGAGCAATCCAGTGGTGGTTCTGGGAGTTCTTTGGAAGTGATAGTTGGGAATATGTCACTTCTTATCTCTCCTCATCCCCTTCCTGGAGCACATTGTTTGGAGTGACTCTCAGGATTCCTAGGCAGGACTGCTGTTCCCTAGGAGCAGAAGCAGAGTGAGCTGGACGTGGCCAGCTTCCCTGGCCCCTCACTGAATAGAACTGTGCCAGCATTCAGGGACTGTACCTCTCAGGGGTTTATAGAGAAGGGAAAAGAAAAAACAATGTTCTATTTTGTTGCAGTGTCTGTTCATTTTTTATATTTCTTTTTATCAAACCAAATCTTGAGAAATTTCCAACTTTTATAAAATGTTGCCAAACTTACGTTAATCTCAGAATCTTGTTGTTTTAGTTTGCATTTACTGGCTGTAGGGGACCTCAAAATATATTCACATGTGTTAGGCTCTTTCTGTCCCTAATATCAATTATTGACTCGTATATTTGTACATTTTTGTCATTATTTGCCCTCTTGGTGATTTCAGGAGCTCTTTATATTTCAAGAGCATGAATGCTTGGGTTCTTTACTGTGAGTATTTTTCTCAATTTTCCATTTGTCTTATTTTGTGCTATAAAAGTTTTTCTTTCATTTTTTCTTTTCTCTTTTAAGATTTCTAGTTTTGGTGTTCGGTGAATCTTTGAATGGAGGGCTATGACAGAAAAGAAAATAGAATGAGTTTGACTATAGGATTTATTTCTTCTTTTTTCTTTCTTCTTTTCCTACTAAGCTTCTAATTTATATTTCCCTATATAAGTGGTGAGGTAAAATACATAGTTTTGACAGCAAGGCTGAGGATTTTTTTTCAATTTTTATTTTTATCGGTCTGTGTTTGCAGTACATAATGATCACATGTCATGTGGGGAGTTGGAACATCCACATGATACATCTTAACTATTTTTTCATCCTCTTCTCCTCCCTTTTCTCCCACCTCCCTCCATCTCTCAGTCTCCTTTCCATTTGCAAAAGACCTATCTCCCTACTTTATAGTCCCTGTCTTTTATTTTACTCTTTATTTATACTTGGTTCCTCATATAAGAGAAGCCATATGATAGTTAAGCTTGTGTGTCTGATTTATTTCACTTAACATTATGGTCTCAAAATGATGCATCCATTTTCCTACAAATGACTCAAGTTTATCCTTCTTTGTGGCAGAGTATTACTTCATTGTGTATAAATACCACATTTTCTGTATTCATCTGTTGATGGGCAGATCAAGTACTTCCTATATTTAGCTATTACAAACTGTACGATAAACATGGGAGTACATATATCACTATAATATAATGCCTTTAACTCTTTGAGGAAAATAGAAAGAGACTAGGTGGGTTGAATGGAATGTCTACATTTAGTTTCTTTCTTTTCTTTTTTTTTTTTTGAGGAATCTCTATTTTGATTTCCATAGTTATTATACTACTTTACATTCCTATCAACAATGAAGAAAGATTGCTTTTCCCCTGTAGCCTCACCAGCATTTGTCATCACTTGATTTTGAATGATGGCTATTCTTTCTGAAGTAAGATGGAATCTCAGTGTTGTTTTAATTTTCATTTCTCTAATGGCCAGAAATGTTGAACATCTAAAAATGCATTTATAGGTCATTTGCACTTCTGTGAAGTGTTTATTCATTTTGGATACCCGTTTCTTGAGTGGGTCTTTTATTTTCTGGGGGCTAATCTTTTGGTTGTTTTATATATTATAAATATTAGTTCTCTGTCCAAGCAAAATATTTTCCCCTTCTCTAGGTTGTCTCTTTGCTCTACTGTTTCCTTTGTTGTGCAGAAGCTTTTCAATTTGATACAATCCCATTTGTTGATTCTTGATGATATTCTTTGTGCAATGGGATTCCATCCAGAAGGATTTTATTTCACTCTGTTAAAAGCCCTTTGTGAAAAACTTACTCAAAATATCATATTAAGTGGGGAACAACTGAAAGCTTTCCTTCTAAAATTAGGAATAAGACAAGAATGTCCTCTATCTCTGTTCTTGTTCAATATAGTACTTGAAACATTAGCCAGAGCAATGAAGTAAGAGGAGGAAGTAAAATGGATATACATATAGGAAAGGAAGAAATCAAATTATCAATATTTGCAAATGACATGCTTCTCTATACAAAAGACTCAAAAATTCCACCAAAAGAATTCTAGAATTAATAAAAAAAATTCAGTGATGTAGCAGGATAAAAATAAATAAATACATAAATTCAATAATATTCTACACCGATAATGAACTCACTGAGAAAGAAACTGGGAAAACAATACCATTCACTATAGCATCAAGAAAAATTAAATACTTAGGCTAATTCCTAATCAAGGAAGTGAAAGACCTCTATATTGAAAACCTCAGTACTCTGAAAGAGGAGATCAAAAAAGACATTAGAAAATGGAAAGATATCCTCTGTTCTTAGATAGACAGAACCATTATAGTTAAAAAAGTCCTTACTTCCAAAACTGTTGTAGAGATTGAATGCAATCCCAATCAGAATACCTCCCAGAACTAGAGAAGACAAGCCCAAAATTCATATGGAAACAGAAGAGACCAAGAATAACAAAAGCAACCCTGGGTAACAAAAGCAAACCAGGAAACATCACAATCCCAGACTTCAAGTCGTAGTACAAAGTTCCAGTGATTAAAAGCAGCAAGGTACTGGCACAAAAATAGACACATGGATCAGTGGAACAGAATAGAGGATGCAGAAACAAGCTCATGGACATCAGCTAACTGATCTTTCATAAAGGAGCCAAAAACATATAATGGAGGAAGGATGGACTCCATAATTAATGGTCCTTGAAAAACAGGCTAATCACATGCAGAAGATTGAATCTAGACCCATATATTTCACCATGTACTAAATTCAAATCAAAATAGATCAAAGATCTAAATGTTAAAACAGAAATACTTAACCTGCTAAAAGATACAATAGATAAAACTCTTGAAGACATACACATAGGTGGGCTAAGGATTATAAGTCACATAAGCATCTCTCTTTTGTACAAAACAGTCTAAGATCCATCCTATACTATGGTGAATTTTCTACAATATATCAAGAGATGAATTTTGCAAGTGTGCATAACATCCGCCATATCCTCAATGTTCTCTGGGTGCCATGATGAGAAAAACACTGTTCAAGTGAAATCAGCAATATCTTCACATCCTCCTTAAATTTTCTTCTATTTTAAAAAGAGAAACAAGGAGTCCTGGAAATATTGATACTTTATGGAAAACCTAGAGAAGCAGCTGGGATTGGATTATGATCTCCATAGAGATTGAGTTGGGTATCATAATTATGATAACCTAGGAAGTCCTCATAAGATACCACATATGTATTTAAGATTCTACTTTAAAATTTTGATCTCACTTAAAAGCCAAATGCCCTGGTTTTTTTCCTTATGTTACTGGAAACTCACTATTAGTGATATTTGATGATGACTTCTTCCTTCTAGTTAAGTGGCTTAGTTTTTTTTTTTCTTCCAAGTTTTAAGCATGTTTTCTCCTTAGCTGATTTCACCTGGGTCTGCTGGCAGGACAATGATGTACATTTTTCCTTTGCCATTCTTGAATTCTCCCCTGAACGCCACACTTGTGCACAGTTTCCTCACTGACAGCACGTCTTAAAATTTTAGCAAACATTTAAACAGCAGGACCAAAACAATAGTAGTCTGCTTCCCAGAAATTTCCATTGTGAATAAATCCTTCTACTACGGGGCCAGGGATTTAGCTCAGTGGTTCCACCACCTGCCTCGAAAGCACAAGGTCTCAAGTTCAATCCCTGGTACCAAAAAAAAAAAAAAAGCCTTCTACTATGAACCCAACAACCCAGAGCCAATTATAGGAAGTATTTCTTTTCACCTTCTTAGGCAGCTATATAAAATCTACCAGAATGTCATGTTGTTATAACCCCAAAACATATTTCAAGTTTCACACCAAAGGTCTCCCCATTCCCATGTTGAAAATGTCATCACCTTTTACCTGCGTTAAAACAAAGCCTCCCAACTCAGTTCCTTGTTTTTATTTGTCCCTTACAATTCAGTCTCCATATAAGGCAATCTTTGGCATGTATTAGGCAATCTGTACATCACACACATCCTTTGCTGACAGTGCTTTCAGTACTAACATACAACATATTTTCAATAGAATCTCAGAGCCAGCAGGAACCAAACGATGGAGACCTGCCTGCCTCAGCTCACGCCTCCCTGATCGCAGTACCCCTCCTCAGCTTCAGACACATTGGTTTTCTGGTTGATTGTTGAGCAGACTTATCTCTCTGCTCCCTTTAGGGTCTTTATCATCTCTGTTTGTGGAGGAGAGGGTTGAAAACTAGCCCAAACCAAAGGAAAAGACTCTGTCCTCACATGGTGACAGAGAACCCTCGTGTCTTCTTTTCCTTATAAGGGCCCTTGGATTAGGACCCCATAACTGTGAACTCATTTAACCTGTATCACTTCCCCACAGGCCCTACTTAAGTACAACACTTTGGGGCTTAGGGCTTCCACACATGAATTCTGGAAACACAAACATTCGATCCCCACCAGATAGGAAAGCTGATAATGCTTTCTTTCTTGTCATTGCTTTTGAAATGGAGTCTCATGATGTTACCCAGGCTGGTCTCAAACTCCTAAGCTCAAACAATCCTGTCTCAGCTTCCCAAGTAGCTAGGACTACAAGTGTATGCCCCATCTTGGGTCACTGGACCCAGTATTTTGACACTGTCATTTATTATTTTGCCATTTAATGAAAGATATGGATCTCTATGAAGATCTAAGAAGTTTTTATCTGATCAAAT